TCCCCCCGCCAGCAGAGGCAAAGGGTCTCGCCGCGGCCATGTCAACAAGTGCCAGGACTGCTGCGCACCGGCCCCCGGGGACCGAGGCTGGGCCCCCCCGCGCCCAGCTGCAGAGGCGGAGACCAGAGAGCTGCTGGGAGGCCAGGGCTGGACCCCTGGCTCAGCGGGGGCATTAGCGGTGAGCGCCAGACCAATGCAGTGAGGGTGGCACAGTACGGATCCCATCGCGGGGGAAAGTCCGCAGCATTTAGTAGCACCCCACAGCTGCACAGGGGAGGAAGGGCACTTGAACCTGCATGGGAGGTTGTGAGCAGAAGGTAATTCACTGTTGGAGTTTGGCCAGGATGCCAGCGCAAGACCGGGCAGTGCACCCTCTGGCAGCAAAGAGCTCCTTAGGCTCTGGCTCCGGTGAGCAGGGAAGGGCAGTCCCTAGTGAAACACCAGCTGCTTTGTGTAGCACAGGGGGCTTTCCCTGGAGACTTCTTGGCCAAGCACTCAGTGATGCGTTGCTGGGGAGATTTGACACGATTAAAGGTTAAAGTTCCACTGCGGTAAGTGAGAGAGAAGGCAAGGGCTCAGCCCAGCTGGCGATGTAAAGTCAGGCAAACTGGGCACTGGTGAATGGCAAGCAGGCAGCCTCTCCGGTGCCAGGATCCATGTACCTCCTAGAGCAATGTCAGCACCCTTGAACTGCACTCAAATCAACAGAACACTGCAGTGGGGGATCCAACTTTGCTTACTCATGCATTTCCTACAGGCCTTTCCTTCACTGTCATGGCTCTTCGACTCTTGGAGACAAACCCGCAGTTGCTGTAAATCCACTGGTGTAAATCCATATTTGCTTAGGGTTAGGGTTAGTGGAGCCTCACCTGCTCCAGTCTGCTGAGAATCTGGCCCTTCCTTCTAAATGCTCCTCCCTGACAGCGTTGTTTATCCTGGGTTGCACAAGGTCTGTAAGAAACCTTAAAAGTTGGAGGAAACTGGTCAGGCAAGGCTCTCCAGAGTAATTCCTTGTGTTGGGACAGGTGGGGCAGGCTGAGCTGGGAAGAGGTGGCAGCCAGGCTTGTGGAAGAATTCGAATGATGCAAATGCACACTTGAGAGAAATCAGTGAGGTGCCTGCTGTGCCAGCCAGGACTGGGGCAGCCTCCCAGAAAAGAGTCAAGTGAATGTTTGGGCTTTGGCTGCTTTTTTACGGCCTGTGTTAGCAGCTGCTCACTTCATCCCGGACCAAGGAAGGGCCACGTTCTCTGGCCCACTCTACAGTATGAAAGGAGTAGAAACCTCCCTTGAGGAGTCCCCTGGTGTGGGCAGGAACCCAGAATATGAAGCGCTGGTGGAACCAGCTCCTGTGCCCCTTTCTCAGTGTAGGGGGTATGTCTGGAATAGGAAAACATGACAGGCAGAAAAGGGGAATGGCAGGAGCACAGTGCTTCTTGGGGCCCCGGTCAGCTGACACTTCAGAGCAGCCCCCAGGAGCCAGGACCAGAGCTAAAAATCAAGGGTCTTTGCTGTCTGCCCCCGCTGCCCCAGATCTATGCAGAGACTCTGGCCTGAAGTGTCTGGATGGTGTGGACAGCCTGTCCCGCGCTGTAGAAAAGTAGTACAGGTTTAAAAGTAGTAAAACTGGCTTGCCAGCTCACAGCCAACAAGATTCCAGTCGTCCTGTGCTGTGACTGTATTGTTGGGCCGCGTTTCCATGTCTGAACAGAGCAACTTACAAAAGCAGCCTCAAACCCTTTACTTCATGGGCTCCAGCTCTGTGCTGCCCCGGGCACCCTTGGGTGCCAGTTGTACTTGCATTACAGCTGCTTTGTGCTGCCAGAGTGATGCCAGGCAGTGTAACACAAACATGTGCATGGGAATACCAGCTAGACTGTGGAGTTGGAGGACACACTTCCACACTGGGAAAAATGCAAGTAAAATCATTGTGATGTGGGGACGCCGCCATGGCACAAGTCCTGGCATAGGTACTGGAATTGCAGCTGCCAGAAATGCCCATGCTCCTGGCACCAATAGCAGAGGGTCACACAGAGTGAGACACTGCTGCACACACAATAGATTATCAGTCTGTTCTGTATCTCTGATCACTTGCTGACATTTATGCTCTGAATAAGAAGCTTTCTCCCTTCCGGTTCAGCTGCTTCCTCGCTCCAGAAGCAACTGCCTACTGTCCCTGTAATGTGAATGGGGATGACAGAGGTTGAAAAGGCAGCAAGCATGGTCCAGTGGTCAACTGGACTGGGAGTTAGGAGATCTTGATTCCTTGCCCCACCTTTGTTTACTCCACCTTGATCAAGGTCTATGTTTCCAAGAGCCTGCACTGTTCTTGGGTGGCAAACTTGAGCCATCGTGAACCGGGTTTTCAGAGTTGCTGAGAGTACACAATTGCATCTTCCTGTAATCAGAAAGGTGCACAGCCCAAGGGATCTCAAGTGGGGCACCCCAAAGTCAGGTGACACCTTTGAAAATGGAGGCATGCACCTTTTTGTGCCTCAGTTTCCCCATATGTAAACCAGCCTGGGAGGGGGGCTGGGAGGGTAAACTCACTGAATGTTTACAAAGCACTTTGGAACCCTGGAATGGAGTTCACTAAAGAACTGCAAAGTGCAATTTTTATATATATGGTCATTCAGGCTTTGTGCCAGAAAGCATGCTGGAACCATTGCATATGTACACGGCTGCACTGGCAAAACCAGCAGTGAATGTATGCAGTGACTAACATCACTGGTTTCTAATTCTCAAGACACCTCCATCTGCACCTCCTCAAAGGCATTTCAGAACCATGAGTCACTGTCCTCAAAAACACAAGACTAACATGAGCTTTAATTTAAAAAAAAAAAAAAGTATTTGCCTTCTGGCAGTTGAGCCAGCGGGGATGTTTCCCGATTTTCTGGCCCCAGAAGGGCCAGAAATATACTTTAAAATATGCAAGCTGAGATTCTCACAATCCCATGACTCCAGGAGCTAGGATGTGAAAACCAAATGCCATCAGACTCATGAGAAAATCGTAAGAATTGGCAACGCTGCAAATACTATAATATTCCCCAGAGTCTCTTTACTCGAGTATCTGGGACCTAGCACTATGCCAGGTATTCATGGCATTTCCCAGTTAATTGGAGTGTTTGTCTCCTCAGAGTCATCAATGCAGAGAAATCAGAATTCAATGAGGACCAGGCCACATGCTGTCAGATAGCCATCAGGAGGAGGGGTACTGGTGAGGAGGAGGACCAGGACTGGTTGATTCTTTGCTCCAATCAGGTGAGTCTCTTGAGTTCTTTCTAATCTACCTGTATCTCATGTATGCACCTGTCTAGTCCCCCACTCTCCATGGAACCTGGCTGAGTTGTCTGATCCTTCATATGCAGGGCCAGACTAAGGAGTGGGCGAGCTGGGCAGCTGCCCGGGGCACCAGCCGCTGGGGGGAGCCTGATGGCAGCTATAAGGTGCATGCTGCACGCCCGCTGCTTGGGGGGGCTGCGTTAACCCCCACAGCACCCTCCCCCCCGTGGTGGCGGGGCCCTGCACGGCTAGGCACGGTGCGCCCGGGTGGCTCCGGGCTGCACACCAGCAGCGGTGGCCAGGCAGCGCATGCGCCGTGCACCCAGAGACGGGCCTGTGTGCCCCGTGGGCAGGCTTGCGCACCCGCGCTGTTGGACGG